ACCTTTTAGAGACTGAGTGCCCAAACTGCAACCCAGACCCACTTATTGATCACAAAGTGTCCACAGTACAACAAGACCTGAAAACGGATGTTTTAGTTTAGAAGAAGCACCTCACTGCCAGCAGCGCACTGACGGGCCGTGCGAAAGCGCGGACGAGTCGCAGCTAACGTGTCGCGGTTCGTGGCGTCATCGCCTGGCACCGCTCCTCCTTTCCGAGCGTGCGCATGGCCCCTGTGTGCGCTGTTACCCGATGCTCGGCTGCTGGGCGATGCTGGGGCAACTTGGCTATGGCGGCTGCCATAGGTTCGCCACCACTGGTCTGGACCAAGGGTGAGGAACTTGTTTCAGCCTGAGAGCTTAACTTTTTTGCTACATGTTTGCTACTTGTTTCCCAGCTACACACATTTTAAAAGTTAACACATATTTTGAAATACTCAAAAATCAATTAGACGGTTGTCTGAGAGGGATGGCGTAGTGCACTGCACCAGCGGGGCTGGACTTGACGGCCTTCTTGGCCCCTTCTGACCCAACTATTCGATGAGTCTATGAACTCATTTTTAAAATGTACAGATGCCTTCAAAAGCATTTTGTCCTGCTTTATGCATCACATGGCGAGCTTGGAACTTTGCAGATTGCACTGTGTTTGGCCCAGAAGGTGGGTAAAATTCTGATAAAAAATGAACTAAAATTAATTTCTGATCCTACTTACTTTTACTACCAACAACAAAGTCCCTGGGAGATGCTTTTCAGCCTTCTGGCACTGGAAAACCTTGTATTTCACCCGTGAAATACAGCAGCTGCGCCATTTTGAACGAACGCTCCCTCACCAGTCGTCGTTCTGGACCTGAATCGCTTCCCTCCCTCTTCAGAAATATTCGCCCACCCAAAGTATTTTTAAAACTTGCAGGGAGATACAGCAAAGGGTTGGATTTGGAGGCAGAGTTGCTACAGCAACTGCTGTCACTGACTTGGCCTGCATTGTGAGCGACACCGAGGGACAACAGTGCTCCAGAGCGAGGCAAGCCGAACGCAGAGATGGAAGTAAAGCTGCTTTTCGGGGCCTGGAAGGGCGCCGAAGCGCCCGAGGGAAGGGCAGGGTGGAACAGGCGACCCGCCGGCGAGCAGGAGTCTCTGCGGAGCACCGGCCCGCAAATGCACCAGAAAATCAAGGTGGGGGGTGCCCAGGGAGAGTCGGAGCTGGGAGAAGCACCGCTTGGCGTTCAGCACCACGGTCAGCACAAGGGGAAGGGGAAAGGCACCCACTGGGCTGGGTCTCCCCAGGCCTAAGCTCGGCTTACTCCCTCCATTGCCCTCAAAGAGGAGACGCCTTGGGCCAGAGGCCAAATTTCCCCGTCGCTCTTTGTGCCGGACGGCCCCAGGCCGCTCTGTGCGCATCCCCCGGGCCGCTCAGAGAGGCCTCTGCCACGTTCAGAGAAGCCTCCTCAGAACTTACCTTGGCCGCGTAGGGCCGGGTTGGCACCCCGATGAGGCAGACCTGGGGGTGCGACTGGCAGCGGATGCCCAGACGCTGGAGAACGGCGCTGCCTCCTGCTCAGCTCCAACTGAACAACCAGACTGTGTCCACCCACAGTTCAATGTACTTGAATGTTCCAGTCCGCTTCCCCTTTCCGGGGTCCAAGCTCTCTTTCCCCAGATCTTTGCCCTCCTGTGGTGCCCTACCGTGATGCCCGAGATGCACTGCAAAAGACTGCGCCAGGCTGCAGGAATTTTAACAAAATGTTTGTTTAATGGGTAGCATTTGACCTGAGGATTGTTCAGACAGAGTCTGGCAGCTTTGGGGCCACCCCACAAATGAAGGGGAAAGGAAGAAACCATACGACTCGTGCTACGAATATTTGGTCTGGGAGGCGGGGGGCGGGGGGAGAAAAATGAGCCAAATTGCTGCAAAACAGCACTGCTAAAGAAAAGCTCGAAACAAAGCCAAAACCGTTCAGCCACCCCAAGAATGCTGGCACTGCTCCTTCGCGAGTACATTCAGGAGCAAAAGAGTCCCACCAGATCCCCTCTTTGGCGAAAACATCAACGCGAGAACAGAAAAGCCAGGAAATAAGATGCGAGGGATCACACCACTGACACGCCAACAGCCCAAGCGATGCAAATGGCCCCTTTTTGTTAGTTTCCTTCCACAAAAGCTGCATAAAAAACAGATCTTTTTCCGCCATGTTCTCCTTTGCTGCCTTCCAGAATGGATGGAGAGAGAGAGAGAATTGCGCATTCGGGGCTTTTCGGGGAATGGAGAAGCTGGGCAAGGAATATGGCTTTGGGGTCTACGTCCGAAGGGGAGGAGAGGCATTTGGCAGGAGAGCTGAGAGAGGGGGAGCTCTCCCCCTACTCACCCAGAGGTGTTCAGGGGGGCTGCGTTTGAACATGGGAGGAGGGTGCGTTCAAGTTTCTGTCCAGCCGTTTGGCTCACAACTCTGCGCCTTCCTCCTGGCCCTAAATCTATCTCTCTGCTGGCAAGGTGCTGGAAAAACAGACCGAAACGTGTTGTCTGGAGATCCTCTTTAGAAACTGAGAGCAATTATAACCTTCACGTCCCAGATTCGTGCCCTGGTTGTCAGGAAGGGGTGGGTCGAGAAGGTTATGCAAGTGAACTTCTCCTGCCTTCCCACCCCTGCACTCGTTGGGTGCTTTTCTGGGGCCAGTGCAGGTCTCCCCTGCATCCTAAAGGGATGAAAAGCATATTTCAGTGCTTAATTTACCGGCAAGCAGTGCTCAGCCAGCTGCGATTTGGGCCCCTGTCCCCTTTCACCTTCAGCCACTTCCCTGGAGTGAGGCCCCCGAGAACTTCCCCAACGCGGAGTGAGGCCCTCCGCTTGGCGGCCTTCCACGCACCCATCGCAGGTGGCGATTTCCACCCACCTTCGCTCCGCCACCCGGGAGGCAGGTGGCCCTCCAGGGATGTGGCGCTTCTGGGACTCCCCTTCGCCATCTGCTCGGCCAGGTGTGGAGTGCCAGCCCAGTGGCAGGTACCCAGGCTAAATCAGGTGGCAGCCGGTTAGGGTGCGGGACGGGCGCAAGTGCCCAAAGAGGCAAGGGAGGGTGCGGGCGAGGACGGACACCGAATGGACTCCCTGCCTCACCAAGCCCTCCTGCTGGTGGAGTTCGGGTGGCTACTTGGGGGTTTGGTGGCCTGGATTGTCCCAAACACTTTCAGGAAGGAGGAGGCTTTTCCAGTAAACCGGCACCGGCTTCCTCTGGGTTTCCGTCCCCTTTGGTTTTATAAATAGGGCTCCCCCTCTGCTTTCTCCTATTTTAAGTGCATATTAAAAGCGAAGGGAAAGAACAGCTGCTTTGTCCGGCAGAGGGGAGCTTCTCCTTTGGAAGCCGTCCCCTGAATGCTGAGGAGCCGCAACCGAGAGGCGGGACCCTCCGCGCAGTTCAAAATGCAAAGAAAGCAAAGCGGTGTTTGAAAAGAGGACCACTCCCCTTCAAAAGGAGGCGGAATCGCCAGGGTGAGCCCCTCCTTCCCCACGGAGTTCAAAATATTTCTAGCCCAGCCCCTGGAGGCTGTGGCCCTGGTTTTCTTGTGTGTGAATGCTCTTCCCTGTGTAGACCGAACTGGGCAGCTCAGAAAGGTGCTGGGCCCTGCCTGGATCGTGATCCAGCCGAGCCGAAGGCTGCGGTGCGGAAGTTCAAGGGGAACCCGACCGGCCTCAGAGGCTGGTGAGGTGGCGGTCCTAAATTGCCCCCCCTCCCCTTTCTCTCTCCTCAATTCGGGGAGTTTTTTGGGGTGGGGGCAGGCTGAGGATCCTGCACTGGCTGGACACAGGGGACAGAAAGGTGCCGGGTTCAACCGCACTTTTCGTACAGCGTCATCCTGTAATTTTCTGCCTCTGCTTCCGACCGAGGGGGAAAGTCTGCATGGAAACGCACCTGCATCCATGTGGAATTCCATGCACCTCCCTTCGTGCATTTCCCACAGAACATATGCTTTGTTTAAGGCAAGCCATTTCCCCAAAGACATTCCTTTCCATTTGCCATTTTCTGGAGAGCGCAGCGCACGGCTTTCTTTGCATTTTGAGAGCCCCTCTGCGTCACGCATTCTGAAGACGCAAACCCTTCTGCGTTCTGGTTCCTGCATTTTCCGGGGGGGAGAGAGTGAGTGAGGCCCGTTCTTACAGAACGGAAGCCAAGGCAGCCCTTCTGGAAGCACCACGAAGGGGTGCAATTTGGGGGACCGTCCTCGAGGGCTCCGACGCTGGCCAGGGTGACAGTGGCCCCGTCACGCTCCCCTCCACGAAGACGAAATACCTGCATGCGTGCCGAGGCGGACGGGTGGCAGGGAGACGACATGGTGAGGATTTTCATGCCAAATTGCTGTTCTAAAAAGGAGAAACATTCCAGTGGTTGTGTGTTTGCTTGCTGCGCACTGAAGCAGGGCGGGACTGAAAACAGTCTAACGTGCTACAGTCGCCGACTGCCCCACAGCACCTGCCCCTGGGCCTGGGCCGCCGTGGGTGCACCTGGACCAGGCCAGGCGTGAAGACAGGCTGGCAAAGAGGGACCGGGGAGGCGTGGGCTGCGCGGAGTGGGGCGGAGGCCCTCCTGCCGCTGGTGAGCGGGCCGAAAGGGGGCACCGTCCCCCCGGGCCCGGGGGCAGCGCCACCCTGGCCTGGGCGAGGCCGTGCTCCCGGGGGGCGGGTGCCGCAGCGGGCTGGGAGAGGGGTCCACAGGGCACGATGGGCGGGGGGGGGCGCGGGGCACGGGAGCAGCGAAGGCGCAGCCGTGGGCCAGGCCTCTCCGGAGGGGCTCGGCACGCGCCCGCAACGGGGGCGGCTGTCCAGGCGACGGTCCAGGCGGGGGCCGCTCTGCTTATGCGAGGGGTTCACTAACAGCAAGCCACGGCAGGATGAGTGCCAAAGAAGGGCCACCCACTGGGTGGAAATGAGTCACTGGCCGGGGCAAAGGCACCACGCCTCCAGGAGCGGCCGGCCGCCTGCTCCCCCGACCAAAAGAGGCCCCGTCCGACGGGACCATCATCTCGGATAATAGTCATCCGGCACGCCCGTGAGGTTCCTGCGCTTCAGAGCCTCGTCCACCATCCTGATATACCCGTTGATCGTTCGCCTCATCTCCGGGGTGTAGGGGTCATACTCCAGCTTCCTCAGCCCGGAGCGCTTGAAGTTGCCGTCCTTCTGGCCCTCCACGCACAGCAGCCGGTCCTCGAGGACAGCGATGCCCAGCAGGCTGACCATCCTCTTGAGCTGGGCAAAGAGGTCTCGCTTCAGGTCCTCGAAATGGACCACCAGGACGTGCTTGCCGTACCTCAGCCAGTCGAGCGTGTGCGTCGCCCACCAGGGGGCGTAGTTCTTGACGAACTCGGGCCATTCTGAAAGGAAGGTGGGGATGCCTACTGGTTAGAAGCCAGGTGGCTGCCACAATCCTGAGCGCCTTTAGCATTGGCCCAGAGGGATCTATGGATTGATCACACTTATCCATTCCTCTGCTTATTAATTTCGTACACGTATTAATTCTACTGTGCTTTTCATCCATCACTGAGCCCAAAGGGGTCTCCCAGCCGCACAAGCGTGTGCCCGGGAGAGAGCTGGCCAAACAAGCGATTATTTCGGACTCCTGGAAGGACGGTTCCTTCCAGGAAGTCTTCCACCAAGCAGGGCAATGGATAGCCAGCCTGGACGGGGGCAGTTATGCCAGCTCCTCACCTGGGTGCTGGAGGCCGGGGCAGAGGGGCGAGGGCCCCTGCCTGGGCCAGTGGGAGCAGTGGGTGAGCAAACAGGTAGGCAGTGCTGGAGAGGAGGGGCAGGTGCAAGGGGGCCTGTCCGTGGGCCCCCACGGGGTGTGGGCCCTTGGCGGCTGCCCAGCTACACCTACCCTGGAGCCGGCCCTGCTGCTGGGGAAGATTTCTCTGGCAAAGCTGTCTTGCTGAGCACTGCTACCACATCACTAGCAAACTGCTTTGCAGGGGAAAGATGTTCCTTGCTATTTAAAACGAAAAAAACCAGTCCTTCAGTTATCCTGGAGGTTTCTTGCTAATTGATCCTCCCATTAAAATCAGGTGATAAAAGGGATAATGAACCAGCCATGAACTGCCAGGGTTCTAGTCTGGAGCCATCGTGTGGCTGGGAAAACGGCAGAAAGGGCTTGGGGGCTGGCGCTTTGGATCTGGCTGCCTCGAGAGATGGGGGCCCCGACTTGCCCCGCTGCTGCCACGGCCCCGAAGAATCGCCCGGACGGGGCACTTCCCCTCCGTCTCCAAAGAGTTACTAGGCAAACGCTCTGTTCCATTAAGCAGGAACCGGACGATTCACCCTGCGTGATCATCTCACATAAAACTTTGCTTTGGAGCCATTCCAAGGGGCCCTCATAAAATTAATGCCATGGAACAAAATGCGGATTAAAAAAATTAAAAATCACAGAGACTTCAGCCTGCTGAGGAGGGGAGCGGAGAGAAATAATGGGACAGGAGGCACCCCCGTCAGGCAGAGGTCAGGCGTAAAAGACGAACACGCCACCTGCTCCGGTGCAGCGCCGCCAGCCTTCCCTCGACTCGTGGCCTGGAAGGAGGCAGCCCGGCTGGTCTTTCGCGAAATCGGGGCTGTGCAGGCCCAGCTGCCTGGGTCTCATCCTCCCCTTCGGACGCCCACCGTGAAGGCAGGGCAAATGGGGATGTGCCACTGTGCATCCCGGGAGCGGCGAGGGAAGCGTCCGGGCCCTGGTGTCGCCTCGGTGTCTGTGCGACGGTCCCCCTTTTGCAGAGCTCGCCAGCCATTCTCAGGGGCAGGTTTGCTCCCCGCACGTGGGGGGCATTGCCCCTGGGGGCCGTGGGGCTCATGCAGCCGGATCGCTGCCTGATGGGGGAAGGGCTTGGCGCCCACCGTTCCCAGCCAGTGGGGCCTGAGAGGTGGGGGCTCGGGCTCTACTCCCCGTGTTCAGCACAGTGCTGCGGGAGTGGGAGCAGGCCTGGGAAGACCCCCCCACCCACATCGCCCCCCTTTCCCCAGAAGTGGAGCGGCCCCCCGGGCTGGCTGCGTACCCTTTCCTTTCCAGTGGGCGTGCGAAGCAAAGCCGATGTGGCCGCCGTACTTGCGGTTGAACTCGGCCATGAGAGCTTTGTAGGGGTTCCGGATCAGCAAGATGGCAGAGTCGAAGGCCTCGATCTCCTTCTGCCCGCTCTCGTGAGTCTTGATGCAAATGGTCCTGCCGCTCCGCCAGTGGTCCCGTTCGCCCTTGAACCCTTTTGTGGGGGTGTTGGGGGCCAGCGGGGGAGGGGGGAAGGTAAAGGAAGAGGGGAGCGTGAGTTTGAGACATCAGCATGGAAAAAGAAAGGAGAGAAAAATGGGTGAGGCAGTGTGGTCTAGTGGTGAGAGTCCTCGGCTGAGGACCGAGGAAATCCAGGGTCTGGTCTCTATTCAGCCATCAAGCTCCCAGGTGACTTTGGGCCAGTCACTCACTCTCAGCCAAGCCTACCTCCTAGGGCTGTTGTTGTGAGGATAAACACAAGTCACTCTGCATTCCTCACAAAAGGAGGAACAGCAGGATAATATTAACAAGAAAATCATAACGGTACTGATAATAGGAAAGAGGAGCCTTTGGCTAAAATATGCCGGCAGTGTGCTCCAAAAAATCATGGAGCCGGGGGTCAGACTAGATGGCCCTGGAGGTCCCTTCTGACGCTCTCTGTTTCCATGTGTTTCTAATCATTCCCCCTTCACCAAGCACTGGTTCCCCACCTAAGCCACTTCCCCGGTGCGATTCCATCAGGAAGCCACTCACTCGAGCTCTCAGGCAAGGTCTGGAAGATGAATGGCTTTGGGAGAAAAAGAGCAGAGAGGGAAAGCCGCCAAGCAGCCACGATTCCCCCCCCCCCCCGAGAGGGGGAGGCAAGCCTGAGGCGACGCACACCGTGAACTGGCTTCTTCCAGTTATGCCACACCGAAGCGTTTCCTGGCAGCTGCTCTGTCCGTTGCCGGAATGCCGGGTCTTCGCCCAGCAGAAGCGAACCGGCCCAGACTATGACCAACCCCCTCTTCCCGCATCTCTTCCCCTCTGGGGGGCGGCGAGCGGACTAATGGCTCCCGTCTCTCTGCGGCCTGCAGCTCTGCCCAAACACACCGCTGCGGAACGGCGAGCCGCCCCGCCGAACCTCCGCATTTTGAGGGCGCGCAGAGGGGCCCTCGTGAGGAAGTCGGGGACCGCCGGCTCTGAGCCGGGGCTGCTTGCTGAGCCAGCCCATGGACGACACGAAGGAAAGGGCTCCGCTGCGGGGCTGCAGCGATTTCTCGGGAGGGAGGGAGGAAGCTGGGCGTGGATGGACAGACGCAAGCAGCAACCAGCCAAAGGCACGCCTTGCAAGCAGCTCACGGCATGAGGCTAAAGGTTACACATGGTGCTTTTCTGCAAGGAAAATGGTGCCGGAACTCGAGAAACTGTTTACCTTTCGCATGCAGTCAGTCGCTGTACGCACACCCACACACGTCAGTTGTGTAACGAAACATAAGAGTCGCCGCCCGCAGTGAGCACTCAGCGCGCCACCACATGACCAATCACAAGCCGCGCAGCGCCGTCACAACCAGCGCGGCCGCAGTGCGCATGCATCGGGCTCGACACACACACAACCTGTGCGCACCATTTTAATGATTTTGCCGCCAACCTGCCACACTCGACAGGGCGATTCAAATCCACACGGACCAAACATCGAATTTTCAAAAGTTACTTTTAAAACTTGGAAAATCTGTCGGAAAAAAGGTGCCGGAACTCTGTTCCGATGCGTTCCGTGACAAAAAAGGCACTGATTACACAAATGTTTGGCACAGAAGGCACACCAAGCACTTCTTCCCTCTGTGCCCGAGATCGGGGGCAGAGGCCCTTCTCCGAGAGCCCCCTTTGAAGGAAGTTAGGCAGGTAGCTACCTGGAGAAGGGCCTCTTCGGCGTTGGCACCCTGGCTTTGGAACACGCTCCCCAGGGAGGTTCGCCGGGTGCCGTCGCTTTATTCTTTTCAGCAACGGGCAAACCCCATTTTATTTTCCCAACATTCTGACATTTTATTGGTTTTGTCTTTGTCTTTCTCATTAAGGGCCGGAAGCAGCGTGTTGGTAGCCTGCTGGTGTCTTATATAAGGCGTCCAGAGACTCTGGTGTTGGACGGCATAGGAGAACTTTAAACAAATAAATGAATGCAGCCGAGATCGGGCTGCAACTGTGCCGTCTGTCCCTCTCTCCCGGGGAATTTGGGGGAGCGCGAATGGGCAGCCCAGGCTCCCGGCAGGGCAGATCAGCACCAGGGACAGCGCCGCCCACGGCAGGCTGCCTCCGGGGCACGAGAGCTGTCCGAGCCTCGCGGCCAAATTCCCTGGCTGCCGACCTCTGATCAATTCTGCAAAGATGGATGCAGAGGGGCTGAAGGAACCTTCCCCGCCCCCTGAGAATTAGGGTCGCCACTCCGTGTGCACGCCCCACCATTCTTCCTCTTGCGAGGACGGCTTGCAAGGGCCTCCTTTCCATCTGATCCTTGCGACAACAGCCCTGTGAGGGAGGCCAGGCTGTGCGCAAGCGACTGGCACAAAGCCACCCCGTGGGCCTCCTCGCCACGTGGGGAGTGAGCCCGGCTCGCTGCATCCCAGGCCAAAGATCTCAGCACCAGCCCACACCGGCCCCCTCCGACCTGGGTTTCGATGTGCATGCGAAATATAATACACCGGACTCGGGGATCTGACGGCGCTTTCCCTCCCCGCTGCGAGGCCTTCAAAATGCTGCAGCGACGGAGGTGCCACCCACCACTCCGAGCTCCTCTCCCGGCAGTGGGTGGGAGGTTAAATGGGCTGTTTGCTCCCCTCTCCAGAGCATCTTGCCTCCCTCCTCGGGATCCAGGGTTATTTTTACTTCTCGGCACGTGCATCTCAGTTTAAGGCCGTCAATTTTGCTCGCTGCTCTTGCTCGCCGGCTGTTAATGGAGGACGCGGATGCTTTATAGTCCCAGACAGCAGGTGTGCAGCCTTTCCCGGCTGTATCATTAAGTTAAGTTTCAGCACATTTCTTGTCTCCCCGGGAGATTATCAGCCCCTGATTGATGCAACAGGACTTCCTCCGGTGTGCCGAGCCGGGTGCGTGGATGCACCGGGCTCCTGCAAGCTGGAGTCTCCCGCTGATGGATCCGTCTTTCACAGCCACGGCATTGAAAACTCGAGCAAGAAGGACGGCTCAGAGACAGGCCAAGATCAGACTCTTGAGGAGGCTGTGCGGCCGTGCCTTCGCTTGCCGCGGAATCCTTCTTTCAGAGCAGCGCTTTCTGGATCGCGCCACGTGGTCGGTGTGCAGACGGAGGACGCCGTCCAGTTCGGTTCCCCCAGTGACTGATTTTTCCTACGTCCAGCCCGCCCTGTTTCCGCATCCCATGCAGTTCCCTTTCTCCCGCCCAGCCTGTGCAAAAACGGCCGATAACGAACGGCCTGCGTGCCAGAAAGATGCAGCCAGGGGTGTGCAAGCGCTTTCCTCCCCAGGGCCAGACCCCACGGTGGAGACGCCCCCGGGGCCAGGCCATCAGGGGACGGACACAGACGGGGCCTGGAGCGAAGCGCTGATGCCGTTTTGCTCCCAGCTTTCACTGCCCGGAGCCAACAGCAGCGGCAGCAATGCAGCCGTTTTTGGAGGCATGGCAGAAAAGCTGGGCAGGCCCCAAAGGCTCCGTGTTGGAGGAAGGGTGTGGGGGCCAGTGGAAGAGGAGCAGCCCTCTGGGGACCCCCGGGGGGCCAGATTTGCACCCAGAAGCAACCTGAAGAACTGGCTCAGATGAAACGATCGAGACCATGGGGATAGTTCTCCCTGTCTTGTATTAGGATGCCGCGGGGCCTGGACCCACACGCGCGGAGGGCTGATCCGGCCTGTGTTCGGTCCCCCGGACATTCGGCAGGTCCCCCCCGCCCCCCGCTGCCCCACCGGTCTTCCCAGGGGAATTGCCGCCTCACCTTTGTTGTAAAGAGAGCCGTCGAAGTAGTAGCTGCCCGTGTAGAAGCCGGTCGCCAGTTCGATGAGGTGCCGGGCCCAGGTGTTCCCTGCCCCAGGGAAGCTCGCCAGGGCGACGAACTGCTTGGCCCGAGATGTCAGAAACCTCCTGTCCATGCACCGGTTGTCTGCAGGCAGACGGAGGCGGAGACGAGGTGAGAGGGGGCCCTGAGGCGTGGGGCCGGGAGGCCTCGGACAAGTGCTGACAAATGGGAATTGCAGCCCCACCTGCCTGGGGGCACAAGGTCGGGGAGGCCGATGCAGGACAGGGGGCTGGGTGTTATCTGGCTTCTTAAATGGCATGTTATGAATTTGCAGCTTGGTTTTAACTTCTGGGGCGTTTTGGTTGTCTTTAGTTTAGTTCTGGGGTGCTTTAGTTGTCTTTGCCTGTTTTCTGAAGTTGGGTGCGCTGCCTGGAGGGTTCCGGAAAGCTGGAGCAGAACTGATCATTAGAAGGAGAAAGCTGCACTGACTTTTGGGGTGTGATTTGGACAGACTGGGTGGGAAACATAGATTCCCAGAATGCTGGAGCTGGAAGGGGCCAAGAGGCCATCGGCTCCAGCCCCTGCTCAGTGCGGCCCTCAAGTTAAAGCTTTCCTGGCGGATGTCTCCAGGGCCCAGGAATCCCGGGGGTGGGGGCGGGGATCCGTTGTCCTCTTGCTCTACAAGTCAGGGATTTTTCCCTGCTGTCCAGCTGGGAACTGGCTTCCTGCAACTTGAGCCCGTTTCCGTGTGCTATGCCTTGGGAGAATCAGGGAGCCCTGAGAGGGGCAGGCTGTCATTCGGACCGAACAGCTGTGGGAGTGCGCCTTTCCTTCCTAAATTGTGCCCCACCAGATCTGGCGCCCAGAAGAATATTGTCATCTTTATCCCTTTCCAGAAAAACAGACGTGTGCTGTTATCGTTATTCTTTTTCTGTTTTGCACCAGGCAAAGACCTTTTTATCCTCTCCGGCCTTTTAATCTCCTCTCCCTTTCTGCCGCTTGGTTGCATTTTAAGAAGTTTTATCTCTGTGATCTTTCTTAAAGAGCTCCGGATTTTAATTCGGGGGGCGGGGGGAGCGGCATCTCAGGCTCCTCCAGATGTTGGCTGGACTGCAACCCCCTGTCTCTTCACCACTGGCCATGCAGGCTGGGGCAGATGGGAGTTGTTGTCCAACAAGCCTGCTGGGCCCCAAGTTGTTTTACTTGCTGGTTTAATCCGGCTGCTGTGGCATGATCTATATAGGCGTTGGATCCGGGCTGGTGCTTTGGCCCCAAGACCTGCTGGCTAAAGGGTGACAGATCTGTGCTAGAAAGGACTCAGAACCAAGGCTGGGAGGGGTGCCGGCTTCTGGCCACGGCCCTCCCCCAGCCCACAGCACCCGGCCGGCCGGCCCATCTACCTTGGACTTGGGTCTGGTACACGATGAAATACTTGAAGGTGCCGCAGCTCTCGAACTCTTCGCCGCTGCATCTCTGGGCGCACAGCTGCTCGTCTTCTCGCTCATGCAAAGTGAAGAGCGTGGTGGGGAAGCCGCAGCGGCAGGACGTCCCGGCCAGCGCCGCCAGGGGGAATTCCTGCAGGGGCAGCAGAGCGGGGAGCTGCGGGGCGTCTGCTGGGAGGCTGGCAGGGAGGTGGGCCGCCGCGACCGGCTCCGGCTCTGGCCTGGCTCCCTGCACAGAATGGGGCAGCCCCAGGACCCTGCTGGGCCCCTCGAGGGAGGGCAGGGCCACGGGCGTGCTGGCCAAGGAGCAGGGTCGGGCGGACCGGCCCGGCTCGAGGGCAGCAGAATTCCCGGAGCGCCTCTCCCGCTTTCCGCCCAGTTCGCCTTTGCGAGCACTGCTAGCTTTGGAAAACCTCAGGCCGGGACCGAGAAGCGACTGGAGCAAATCTGCCCCCATGGAACACGCTGGCAATGCATCCTAAGCAGGCCAGAAACCCTTCCACCCCACTGAAGCTGCGGCTCCTCAGCGGCAAGGCTGCTCAGCAGCACTCTGTGCATGCTCCAGGGTGCTCTCGTCCTTTTTATTGAGTTACATCAAGGACGGGGAATCTGGGAGGATTCTCCAGCGAGCCAGTTTTCCTTCCGGCTGGCATGGCTCCAAGCTCAGCCTTGGCCCTGAGGGCTGGCCGGGGGCCGTGGTGCAGGGGGCTAAGCAGGGGACCCTGACCTTTTCCGTTCTGCTCACAAAACCGGGGAGCCCCTGCTGCCCCGGAGCAGCCGTGTGGACAGCGCTGGTGCCGAGTGATGTGGCCAGAAATGGGGGGGCCACGCGCACGGCCACGGAGGGAACGTGCGCGTTGTCGCCTGAAGGAAGGCCACCAACAGCCCCAAGCGGCGCGTGGTCCATGCCCTCTTTGGAGTCTGACGAGCCACTTAATAGCTGCAGATGTGGCGGTGCTGGATTAAGGGGGGGATGGGGGGCCATTTCCTTGAAGTGGGGGGCACACCGCCACACCGCCCAGGGGACCGCTCCAGGGGGTGACCGGCTGTCTGTGGCCTCGGCGGGCGGCCTGAGCTCACCTTCCCCATGCAGAAGTCGACGCATCGGTCCACAGACATGTTCCACATGACCTTGCTGACCGGCAGTGCCAAGGAAACGTTCTCCGGCCGGCGGAAGCATCCGCGGAAGATGGCGCTGCCGTCTGAGCGGGAGGGAGAGAAAAGGAAGCGGGTCAACGGCGGGGGCCCAAAGCCAGGCCCGCGGACGCCTTTCGGGGAAGGGTCTGAGCCCCGGCGTCTTCCATGGGGAGGTGGCATCAGGCGCCCGGCGACGGAGCATCCCGGCCCCCGCCGGCCCCCACCCGAGTCCCCGCAGACCCACCTCAGGGCAACCTCAGCATGACAAGGACCGAAACCAAACGGGATTCTTCCGCATCCCGTCTCCCTCCCTGTTCTTAGCACGCTGCTCATTTTCTGGGTTGGGGGGTTGTTGTTAATTTTTGTTAAGCAGATATAATGGGCAGGATGCATTGATGCATTGACGGATTGAGAGAGAGAGAGATTGATTTCCATTTTGGAGCTCATATTAACACTTGTCTTGATATAAATAGATTGAGGATCAACGTCATTCCATCAGTTTTGGATCCAATTTGTTTAATGCATCCCGTTGTTATAACACATGAAGCCACGGGAACCTTTATATATAATTTGTGAAGGCATGGGGACATGTACTGATTCATATGAAAAACTGGATCTGTCACCAGCACCCGGAAGATGTTCTAACGCGCCGGCACAGCAGCTCTTTCACTGGACAGAGGCCAAACCTCACTCCCTTGCATTGGTCTCCTCCTAGTTCTCCCTCCCTCCCAGGACTGAATCAGGGTCCACGTTTACGTCTTCTGGAAATGTGCAAAACCAAAAGCGAAAATTAATTTCCTGTGGCCACCAACTTCGTGGAAGTGACTATAGATTAGGAATTCCTGCATGCAACGCATTCTTAATTTGATTTTATTTTAAACTTAAAACGTGGTGCAAGGGGAATTTTAAAGGACCTCACAGAGGGGGGCGGGGTGCCTTATCTGGGCACATGGAGTCTTGGATCCTGCGCTTGCTGATGCTGAAGCAGGTCCCAGGCACATGGGGTGCTGCCGTGGCCAATCAGGGACCCCGTAGCGAGGGGTCCATCGTCTTCTTCCCAGCCTTTGCCCCTCTGGCGATGCTGGCCTGCCCACCACCCACACACGTCTGGGGCCGGGGACTGTCTTTCCAAGGCCGCTTGCCGTGCCCCTTCCCCGGCTGGTCCGGAAGTGGGGCGCTTCCCGGCCAAGCAGTGCCCTCCAGGCGGCTCCTGGAGTGGATATGGTGAGGGACGCCTCCTGCCCCCCATGGCTGGATTTTCCTCTCCGCCTTTCACATTTAAGCACCTGCTAATGAGCCACCGGCCAGGCCTCTTCACTGCTGAAGGCTGAGAGGAGCACCGTGAATACGGAATGAGAGGCAAGAAGTGGGAAAGCCAGGGAGAGTCCCCAGCGGAGCAACGAGCCTTTTCCACCTCATTAGCGGTGCTCAAGCACCTTTTCCTTCCTAGCCCACGCAGCCAGCGCCACCCCAAGCATGGTGCCCACAGCTCAGCGGGGCACCCCCCCCACTTCCCTGCATGGGGCTTTCCCATCGGGGGGCCCAAACCAAGCCCCCATTGAGGAAGAGCAGATGCCCACACACCGGGCTGTGTGACCGGTGTTTTCAAGAGCATGGAATGTGGCTTCGTACTGCATTAGCCTAAAAGTCTCAGCTTTGGAACACATGCATAAGCCTCTAGTCCTCATGAAAATGCATTGCTGCATGTATCCTGCTGGCATCGCTAGAAGTCAAAAGAGCTTGCATGGCAGTCACAGTGAGGACGGGGCTGGCACCTAGCAGGAAAGCTCCTTGCTGGCCCTGCCCCCTCAGCTGACAGGACCGGAATTATTAATTAATTAATTAATTAAAACATTTCTATGCCGCCCCATTCGCCGAAGCCTCGGGGCGGTTCACAACATAAAAATTAAAATATAATACTTACCATAAATAACAATATAAAATAAGTCGCCCTGGCCAGATAAAATAAATAATATTAACAAATAAAATGATGTTTAAATAAAAAGGTCTTCGCCTGGCGCCGAAAAACAAATAACGACGGTGCCAGGCGGACCTCTCTGGGGAGCGCATTCCATAGATTGGGCGCCACCGCAGAGAAAGCCCTCTTCTGAGTAACCACCCTCCTAACTTCTTCCACGGAGGGTTCCCGGAGAAGGGCCTCTCCCGCCGATCTCAAGGGGCGGGCGGGAGTATATGGACGCAAGCGCTCCTTCAGGTAACCAGGACCCAAGCCGTTTAGAGTTTTCAGAAACCTTGCCGCAAGAAATTCCGGATAGACGTTGGCCTCTGATATGACCGGTGCGGTTCTGGCCTAAGAAGGTTAAATATTGGCCCGTCTCCGAGGGGGTTACTCCAAAGTACCCACAATTCACTGAAGCACATAGGGCAAAGGTAAAAGAATATTTGCGTAAGCTTTATGAGTCAGGAGAGAGAGTGGTCATGTTTTTTCTTATCGGGATACTCCTTATTCTTGGGAAAGCAATGGCTACCAGCCATCAGGAGGCTGCAAGCAAAGAGGCCATCAAGCTTCTCAAAACTACACACCACAGCCTCTGGCCCCTATCTCGAGCCGTCAACAGTCACCAAGATCCTTCCCAGCTCGAGGATCTGTTTCCAGCAGAGAAAAAGTATCTCGCTCGAGCTTTTGCCCTCCATCAAGGCCTTCAAGTGCTACCCGAGTTCGAAAATTCCCGTCTGAGCCTCAACGACAGATGTCATTCGGACTGGGGGTTCAAACCCCACCTGACGTGGGCAAGCCAATGCATCACGCAATGGGATAAGGTGAAGGTCGCCTTTCGACTCCATACAAAACAAGAGAAATGGCTGGAATGGAACGGCTGGAAAGGGCAACACGGTCGGGCTGCAATAAAGGCCATAATGGCGGGAGGAATAACCCACAGCTATGGGATTCCTCGAAAGAGCGCCGCCAGCCCTCACACGATCCTCGCCCAATGGCCATGCATCCAGGAAACTGCACCCGCATCAACAATCCCCTGTAGGAGTTAGACGATTGCGACAACGCTACTCTCCTCGATTCGCCTCAAACGAACCAGACTTGGAGAGCTGGAAACGAGACTATCGTTGTCGAGCACAAAAACAGCTCATCCACTTCGACACCTCCAGAGAAAGAAAGAAAAGCAACTCTTTCTCCAAAGTCTACTCTCGCTCCTCTCTTGCAAAAGATCACAAAGGAAGTCAAAACAAAGGAAAACAAGACTACAGCGATCAGCAAGATGAGCGATACGTCTATACCCGTACTCGGATACCTACTTGTGTTACTGGTAGGTGTTTTCTCGTTAATAAAAATACGAGAGATTCTGAGAGGGCTAGATTGGTGGTGGACTTCGCTCAGTTTTCCAGAGGCCCTACCAAAGTGTCCTTTCCAAAATACTGGATTCCTAACCACAGAGCACTCGCCCGGCTCATGCCCCGTGACATGTGGCGGATTTCTTTGGACTCATCTGAGGCATTCTATCATCTTCCTTATCATCCTGAGTCTGCTGCTTGCGTTCTTGTATCTGACGGAGAAAATATCTACGGGTTTAGGAAGTGCCCTATGGGAATTGGTCCCAGCTCCTGCAACCTTACTCTCTTCTCTGTCATCATCGCAGCAGATGTTCGTCGGCGTTTTGGGTCATTTTGCTTTGCTTACATGGGATGACGTCATCCTCTGCCATCCGAACCCTCAATACCTGCGTGCAGTCAGTTCTGCTATCTACAAACTTTTGGCATCAGGATAAATACTGACAAATCAACACCGACTCCTACAAGAAGAATTAACTATCTCGGACTGGAATTCACGGGTCGAAAGATGAAAATCGCTAAGGACTACCAGAAAGAACTCTTGAATCTCTTAAACCAAATTAATGTTCATGATTTGTATGATTACAAATGTATTCAAAGATTGACTGGGAAAATGGCTTTCTGTATGGGCTTTACAAATGTGGGTTTCCTGCTACTACAACCTTTGTGCCAGGCTGTTAGTAGAAAAGCAGATAAAATGTTTAACCATGCTTATCTAGCTATGCTTGAAGAAACAATCAAAAGTTTACCTAGGCAAACTTTGACTAAGAAGCACAAATCGCCATTGCCAGTTGTTGCTGTGGATGCGAGTCTTGAGGGGGCATTTGTGGCCTCAGACACGGTTCTTGGGCAAGCTATCGGTTTAGCAAACAGAGTTATGCAAAGTAGACGCACCTCGGCCTGGGAATGCCACTTCTTTCGATGCAGTCACTCCTAAGCACATTCCATCGGCTTGTTTTTCAAATGCAGACATAGCGTACCTTGTCTGCATTTGACCTCCTTCCAGTTTTCCATGGGACCACAGACTTTCAGGCCCCGTGGCCGACAAAGGCCCCGTCGCTGATTTCTTAGGGGAATCACGCATCCCTGTTTGGAGCTCAAGGACACAGAGTGCCACTCTTGGCACGGCTCCCTGCTTGATGGAACAGACTTCCCATGGAGGTCTGCCAAAATCTTAGCCTGAGCATATTTAAAACGCAGTCTGGAAAGAAACATTTCCACGGGGATGGGATTCTTGATGGCAGCCAGCAGGCCCTGGATTGATTTTCACACTGTAAATCTCTCTTCCTGTGTTAAATATAGATTTTGGTAATGCAGTGTTATTAAAGCGGATCTCACATTGGTTAATAAGACAGGCGGATGACCGTTTATGGGGCATTTCACACAAATCAGGCCAAGTAGTTGGGGAAATCTTTCCCAAGTGGTAGCTTTGGGGTTTTACCTCCTTCCTTCCCCCTTCCTTCCCTTCTTCCCTCCTATCTTTCCCGTGGATCATCCGAGCTCCTGCTCTCCCGCCTTCGCGTTTTGCTTACACCTCCGCGCAGACTCCTGGGCCAGCTCCAGGCGGTAGATGGACAGCCGGTTCGCTCCTCCACAAGCGCTGCTCTTCTCGCCCTTGCACTCCATGTTGCACTCCGAGTCGCTGACGTTCACGGCCTGCATTTTGTGCCCACAGTAACACTCGGCCCCAAACTCCAGCCCGGCGTAGAGGTAGCCCCTGCCAAGACAAAGAGCGCACTGACCTGGGCGGCTTGCGGCTGCACCGCCGGGTCGGAACACGGGAGACGGAGAAAACGCGAATCCTGGCATGAGCACGCGGCCCTCTCTGGCAGCCCTGCTTGGACAGCACCCTTTCAGACTGCAGGTGGCAGGGGCCACGGGCTGGAAGGAGAGGCTGCCAGCCCTCGGAGCCCGAGCGCCTTCCCCGCTACACGCCCACCTTCTACCCACGGGGACCGTGGCTTATTCTCCCCTGTGAGAAACATGCAGCGCCCCAGCATCTGACAGTGGGCTGGCACCTCGTGGTCTGTCTGCCTGTCTTCCTTTTTGATGTTATCTATCTAAATATCTCATTCGGCACTATCTCAGCTTCCCTTCTTTTGAATACTCTGGTATCTGTTCTCTCCCTGCTGCCAAATCAACCCTTCCCAGAATTTTTGCATCCTGGGAAGTAGAGAGCAGATGTGAAAATGCCCCCTTTTCTGTGCTGGACTTCAGCCCCAGAAGTTTTTTTTTCCCTTATCTTTTCAGCAGAAGACTTTGGCCCGGGCCAGCCGTGTGTGGCTGTCCCAGCACTGAGCCCCCTGCTCCGGAGAAAGCCATTCCGCAAGCCCAACCTCCACTTCTCCCTGGCCATGCGGACCTCGACACGCCAGGTTTTTTCTCTCTCGGCCCCAGCTGTGGCTTTTTAAACCACCTGACCCAATGAAGAGCTCTAGAGATGGTGGAAACGTTCGTGCAGTTGGTGATCGGAGTCAGCCCGACGCAGATATTACGCTCTCTGGACTCTTGACCGCCTTCCTCTGGCCCCTTGTCTTTGGTTTAAATTCCCAATAACCGGACACTGGGCTGGGTCCGTTGGGCTCTTGGCGTCGCCGGTCACGTCCCCCTTCCTGGAGCTCTCCCGGGTCCTGAGCGAAGAGCGACTCCTGCGCCAGCCGAGCTCTTGGCTCTGCTCTGCACCAGCGACTCGTGCCCTGCCGGAACAGGGCAGAGGGGCTTCGGCCTGCCCAGGGGGCCTCTCCCCACCCCCTTCCTGCTCTCAGCCCCTCAGACACGTTGCCAATCTACCTTTCGCAATTTATTTCTGCAAAATATGGCGCAGGGTCCCTGGGTGGAGAGCCTCGTCCATCAGCCTTCCTGCGCAGGGCCAGCTTCTCTGCTGCTCCCCACAGCGGCTGCAAAAGGGCCGAAGCCCCCAGCCCCCTCCCCGTGGCAGGAACCGATTTCCCTCCCAGACCAAGACCATTTCCATTGCAAATGAGGCCTCGCCTTGCCCAGAGGGAGGAAAGATGGGCTTTTCAAACTGCAGCTTGGGGCACAAGGCAGGAAGAAAAACAGCCACAGGGAGAGACTCAAACCGCTGGAGCTGACAGGAGAGAAATACACTCGATGCCTCGGAATTAATGAAGTCCCCGTGTTCGTTATGGCACCCTACCGTTCGGCACAGTTGTCCTGGCAACGGAACAATGTCATTTTTTTGTAGTCAAAGAAGGACACTCCACGGAGGACTCTCCGGTGGGTGTTGTCGACGTAACAGCCGATGTATTTTGCTGGGGAGAAAGAGAGAAACATGACAAGCCACCCTCAGAAATCACGGGAAGAACAGCAGACCTGGGACTGATCGTGCAGAGACATAGCCGCCCCCCCACCCCCACCCCCGGTGTGCTGGGACTGCATGAGAAGCGGTGATGTGCGGAGGGGCTTTCGTCCCGCTCTCCCCCCAGAGGAGCCAGAGCGGAGGGCACGGCCCTCGTCCTGACCATGCCCCATCCTGGAGTCCAGGGCAAAGCAGGAACTCGATCCAGCATCTTATCCGAGCTGCCGGATCACCTGCGTGCGCACGGACATGCAGTCTTTGCGCCTTGCAGGCCTTTTGCTGCTCCTGGTTTTACTTTGATCCCCTCATCGTTTAACATCAAAACCTTCTTTTTGAGGCAGGCCGGCTCATTGCGAGGTCAAGAGGTGCCCCGAGAGCCATCGGTGCTCGTCTGAAGTGCTCCCTCTGGGTCTTTGTGCTCTGGGGCACAGAGTCCGCCCCCGAGGTGCACTCAGGTGCTTGGCAAAGTTACTTCTCTCGGTGGCGTCTCACCAGCTTGGCGTTAGGGAAATGAGGGCTCGGCAGCCAGCCGTTTGCTGGTCTTTTCTCTTCTCTGGGGCCTGCCCCCTTTTCCGCTGGGCCTTCTCACCACCAGAAAGCAGCTCCCAAAAGTGTTGCCGACACAGACGAGGATCAGCACACCTGCACATGCCTCGGGTGACATGACTTTCTGGGGCAAGCCGGCCCCGCTTCCGAGCCTCGGGAAATAGCTCGGAAGCACAGCTCTGTCCCGAGACTTTCATCCTTGCAGAGCCGCCCTCGAGTCGAGCCGAGCCACTTTCTTGGCCTCTGCATTCATTCTGCGACAGCCGCGCCGGCGGAATTCACGCTGGGCGCCTGATTGCCAACACAATGCTGTCTCCCCGGCAGGAACGGCCTCATTTGCTACCCAGAGGAGTCACAGGGAGGCTGCGCTAAACGGATTATGAGCGGCAACACGGTCCTTTGCACAACCGTCCCGGCGCCCAAGGACAGCTCACGCACTTGCTGTCGCGGCCGCGGCCCGGATTTCCGCCTCCCCTTCCAAAAAGGAATGCTTGTCAGGCCTTCGGGACAGAAATCCTCCACTGTTCTGTGCAGCTTGCCCGGTAGCAGAGCCCTGCCCCGAGGCCTTCCTCCCACCGCCTGGATCCCCCATGCGGCTCTAATCACACCGGCACCTTTGTGCTTCCTAAAAACATCACTCCCAAGCTGGGATGGGGGAACGAGTGACGTTTGGGCTCACCAAAATTCTCCAGATGTTCATGCACAGCCAGCCTTGCCCCGATTCACCGTGAGTCCGGGGCTGCGGCATCCCACGCTCCTCCTCAGGGCTGGAGGGGAGGCAGGGGAGGAAGCCGGTGGCCCTGGGGGATGGAGGAGCGGGCCCAGCAGGTGGGCCCCGGAGAGCCCCGCATTTCTGCTCAGCAGCAGGACGACTCCAGCCCTCACTGCCACCCCGTCCTTGCCAGCCCCTCCTCTCGTCCCCCGGGCAGATGCAGCCACGGAGCCACTGGGAGCCTGCGGACGGACCGTGGGCAGGGCCCGTTCCCGACTCAGCGTGGCGGGGGCGTGTGGGCGGGCACGGCGCTCCTGCGCTGGCTGCTCACAACTCCATTAAAGCCGTGCCAATTAATAGGGTCTGACAAGCGCCCCGCAGCTTCTCTGATTAGGACAGAAATCGCCCAAGGCAGGCAGCTGGGGAAGTCGCACCGGCAGGGTAGAGCAGGTTTCCGGGGGTTCTCTGCCAGGCCCGGCTGCACCCCGAACCCCAAATCAGCCGACCTTGCAACCGTTTATTCCCTTCCAAACAGGGTGGCCTCTTGTGATTCGCCAGAAGAGAGGTGAGTTTGCATGCATGTACACGTGCCAATTTGAGTGCCCGGGTGCAAACTGAGAAATGATTGTTATAACTGAAATAGAAATCGAACGCGTCTCTCCTAGCGTCAGGACGGGACCAGAGCACTGGGTGCCTCGCTCAGCCCGTGGCCCAGGTGCCGTCAGGGGGCCCCTTCAGGGCCCTTCATGTTTTCCTTCAGCATATTCTAATCTCGAACGGGGTGGCCCGTCGTCAGAGAGAGGATGCCTTCCAGGCAGCCACAGGGCGCACTCCTCGTCGAAGGGGACAGCCGGCCACCCGGTTTCCTGCGGACGTCCGAGGGCTCAGTCTGCAGCCAGAGCGGCCTCCCTCGTTAGCTTGCGGGAGACGCCTTGCAGAATGAGCCCAGCTGCTCTCGCCAAGCAGCCCGCCTGCTTCTCCTGGGGCTGCCAGAGTCCCCTCTGCTCAGTCCCACCTGGGGGGACACCCCCCTTGCCCCGTCTCCCCTGCACAACTGTCCGCGTCTCTCTGGCAACCCGGCAAGAGGGTCGCCAATGAAACAGGTACCCGGCAGAGCTCTGCCGGGATCCGGAAGGCCTTTCCCTCCCTCTCGCCCCCTTGCAAGGGGGGCAGCCTCACAGGAAACCCCTTCTCCTCGGCATGAAACAGCCATGCGGGCTCACTGCCCCCGCGAGGAGGACAGGACGACGGCTGGTCTTTGCAGAGCGACATGCCCAGAATGCCCCCCCCCCCCCCCCCGCCACAAGCTCCACCGCTGTCCGGGAACCATCCATCACGGCGACAGCCCAGCTGCGCCAGAGGCAAGACGCGAGGGCTGCACACTCGCTCCCGCTTGCCGAGAATCCCGATTTATGGAGTTGGTGCAGAGAAGCCACTGGGTGTTCCGCTGCCTTCATGCACAGGCGGAAAAGAAAGCTCCGGCCGCCGCGATGGGCAAGGAGGAAACCCTGAGGCTGGGCCTGGGCACCAGGGCGCTCGCCGTCTCCCTTCCAGTCCCTCCTGAGAGCCCGCCTGACCCGGGAAGGCTCCGCTCTCACCCCGCAGCCTCCCTTTGCAACTGAACCGAAGCCACGGGGCAGGCAAAACCCAGCTGCAAAACTGCAGAGCTGCTGCCCCCTCCCTCGTTGCAGGAGGCAAGTTGCTTTGGGTCGGCCCAGATTCAGAGCACTGAGCTGCCACGAAAAGGCCCCGCGCCGGATCGCGGCCAAGCTGCTTTGGGACCGCAGCTCAGGGCAGAGCACGCAGGGGGTCCCAGGGCTGGTTTCTGGTATCTCCAGTCAGACAGAACAGAGATGGGGGGATCCTAGAAGAGCTTCCCTGCGTGGCAAGCATGGGCCGGGTGGCCTCCAGAATGGGAGGACTCCGGAACACTCTCCGGCCAGAGGATGACTGGGAGGGGCGCTCCCGGCCTCCGTCCCTGGCGTGGCAGATCACTAGCGAAAGGAGCTTTCGCAGGCCCGGTCGGGGAGCTCTCCCGAGAGGGCAGGAGATGAAGTGCCTGGAGCAGGAATGGGGGCACGTCCTCCGCTGTCTTCGGCGAGAGCCAGCCGAGGGAAGTCGGCACGTCCGCGGCAGACAGCGCCCGCCCGTGCCGAACGGCGTGTGATTTCCCTGGGCCAGGCTCTGTCGCCGTCATCACGAGCAAGGAGCTCTCCCACCGGAGGTTAATTGCGGCCGACGCCTCACATATGGCTGGGAGCGCAGCGGCCCCGCGCAGGCCCCGCCGGTGGACTCCCACCTGCCATCTGGCAGAGCTTCTCCGGGTGTCAATTCAAATTAAACTAACGAGCATGGCCGATCGTGCTCCCCCAGACGAGAGCCCTTGGTTCTCCGAGTGTGGCCACCTAGCCGAGAAGGGAGTGGGCTTTGGCCCCGGGGAGGATGGTGGCGGCGGCATTAAAGAATGCGGGCTGCCTGGCCGGCCCAGCGACCCGAGACCCAGGAACGCGATACGAGGAGAAATGGGGGACCTCCAATCGCCCCCATTCTGCAAAGGCAGAACCGGCTTTTTGAGATCGGCGGCTATTAGCCGCAGCAAGCCGGACCTGCCGGGGAGGCCCTGCGGCCAGACTGGCCCTGTTCAGCCAGGCACCTGGCCGTGCCCTTTCCAGGGACTCCGTTCCGGGGACCTCATTCCATTTGCCCCCGGCAGCCCCCCGCACCTGCACCGCACCCCAGGCAGCCAGGGCTCCGTGGCGATTCCTGCAAGCGGGGAGCCCGCACGGCTCTTTCCACCCGATAATAAATGGGACAGCACCGGGGCACGGCTCTCCTCCTCTCCAAAAATGAGTGTCTTGTCAGGTGAAGTAAATGAGGCCTTCAGAGATGCTAAGCACTCCATGGACAGCCCCATAAGTCACCCGTCAGACGGCGCCACATGCTGAGCCAAATGATGGGGAGTGGATGATGGCTGAGCTTGGGAGGTCGCCTAATGGCTGAGCTGGAAAACCAGAGCCTTCCCATGGATTAGTGGGAACAGGAGTGGGAATGCCCTTCCCTGCCCTGCCGTCTGCCCCCATCCCCGTCCTCACAGGGCAGGAGGCTCAGCCCGGCGGGCGACAAGGGAAATGTGGCCGGAGGCCTGCTAGTCTCCCACTGATGTGAGACCCCTGGGCTCGCTCCCCCTCCTCGCGCATTGCCCAGGCCTCTCCCCCTGCCCGTAATTTCGCCCGGGCCCACAGCAGACGGTAGCAGAGCGGAGCCGCAAGATCCGCCAGGGGCCGGACCCAAAGCATCTCCGGTTCATAAAGCCCTGCTCCCCCTGCAGCCACGCCAAGGAGGTGCCACCAACCACTCCGTGGCCACTCGCTTCTTTGAAACAAAGCGGGGCGCAGGGACATGCCCAGGATGGTGAGCCAGGCAAGTCCTGCCTCTCGCAATGGCCTCTTCGCGAGGCGGTGCCGTTCCCATCGCTGAGTTGCCTGTGACGAGGGAGAGTCCCTCATGGAGGAAGAGGAAGGGGCACCAGAGGAAACGCTGGCGGGGGCAAAGCGAATGCCAGCACAATCGTCATTTTCCAGCTCCAAAGCAAAAGTGTCCCATATCTGGGGCAATCCAAATATGAGCAACTGCTCAAGACCCGGCAAGAACAAGGGGGATGTTTTGGGGTTGTGTGGCTAACTTTCCCATTGCATTCCGAATCACCGTATTGCGATTGCTTTCCCCATATCCCCGAGAAACGTTACCTCGGTCTTCCTCCTTTTCTCGGACAGTCCTCCCCTTGAGAGCTCTGTTCCATGCTCCTCCATAATCCCGGACTTTGCTCCTGCCAGCTGCATCCTTGGAAGGGTTCTTAAACCATGACCCGTACCTTCGGCCAGGGGTCAAAGATTCCGGCATGTCCTTAAACTCCCTGCCCAGCTGAAGCGCTCCCAGATACTGGGACTCTGTCCCGTCTCCAGCACCGCCGTTGGAAGTGGGGCCATTCTCGGGGACCCTGGTCTCCCTGGAGAAGCCAGCGTGGAGGAACACCAGGCTCCCCGCGGTCAAGTAGAGGGCAATCAACGTGAAGAACCGGATGGGTTTCCGCCGAAAATACCTCTGGAACTTTAGCAAGAGCTTGGCCATGCCCGTCTCATTCCGTTCCTTGAGCGGGCACAAATCCACAGAACCAGAGGCGGCCGAGGAACGCCGAGCCGGCCCAAGAAACAATGGCTCAGAGCGCAGGCAGAGAGGAGGTGAGCGGCGCCTCCCGTGCAGGTGAGCAATTCCACTCGGCGCCCGGCTTTTCGCTCGCACAAAGAAGCGCTCGCTATTCGAGGGCACCCCCTGCCCAAGGCTGCGGCTTGGAACGGGGCGGTGGAGGGTCTTATTCTAGCCGTCAGAGTTACTGTGAGAGAAGGTGGTGCTTTCTCAAAGCATCCTTCCCTTGGTCTCCTGTTAGTGCTGCCCGAGAGGGTGGCCAATGGATTCCCTTGCCATGGGGGCCGCGCTCCAGAAAGCGGCACACTTCGGAAACCGATCGCTGGAGGCAGCTCCCCTCGCCAGCCTTCGGGCGGACGGGGCGGCTCATTTCTGAGGCATGTCCTGAATGGAAGGGGCGAGGTTGCCTTTTTCAGCGAAGGAACGGAGGCACGTCCAGGGAGGCCCCGGGGATGCAGGAGTCACGGAGGGCTCTGTCCAGCGACGTTCCATTCATGGCAGCAGCAGGACAAGGAAGCTCCACCTAAAAGTCAAAGGGAAAGAAAACGAGAAATGATACAGGGATGTGAGCAGAAGGGGTCTTTAATCTGAATTAAAGCCGAAGAGCAGGCGTGTGAGCGCCTTTTCTGGCATGGCTCTCGGGTGGCTTCCGGATGCTCATTTCTGCCATGATGTCCCAGATCTGGAGAGATCAGTTATTGCACAACTTTCGCGGTTTTCTTGTGGCGCATGTTTCACTCATGGCGCTGGCGCTGCAAGAGGAAGCACACAGCCAGCCTCTGACAATCAGCTGCGGCTCCGCGGAGGCGGCCCGGACTGCTCCCTTCTCTTCTGGGGTCACTGCAAAGGGGCAGCACAGGGTGCCGTTCCCCCGCAGTTTAGAAAGCGTGGCTTGTTTGTGCTCGCACACGGTAAAGGGATGAAAGGAGCAGGCAGGGTTGTTCTGGTGCACCTGCCCCCTTTCCTCCTCCTCCTCCTGCAAGGGCACCACTGTGTGACACAAGATCGCGCTTCTGATGCAGTGGGAACAGCGCCGCACCCCGAGCGTTTTGCAGCACCACGGCAGCGCCACTCTTTGCAAATGCTGAGGGGCCCTGCTGTGGACCCCCCACACAGAGAGGCACGCCTGCCCGGCCCACGGTCTGGCAGGAGGGAGGGGTGGCTGGAGACCTGGCCTGTGGGGCCGGGCAAGCGAGCCCGAGGCCTGGCTGGCCGCCTTGGCCGGCTGGCTTCATTCCCCTCTCTCTATCTGCCCGGGGCAGTGGCTGCTTCACCATCGCCTTTCCAGGTGAGCTGTTCAGGGAGCTCTGAAGCAGCCGACAGACCCAGGAGAGGCCCAGGTGTGGCGGCAGCTTTGGATGCACCACGGGGCGGGGGGTGGGGGTCACACCAAGTGTCCCCTTTGTCCTAAGCAGGCAGTTGCAGCCCCGCAACTGCCCCACGGGGCTGGGCAGCGATGGCGTGCGAGGCGGCCTCCCATCTGGCTGCTGTGCCGCCTGTAGGTCACACTTGTTGTTGGAAGAAAGTAGAGGTGCCTCGTTCAGAGACATTTAACCAAGATGCAGATCTTCAGGGTTCCTGCAGCTCTTCCTTTTCAGAGCATAAAAAAGAGGCTGTTCTTTTCGACACCTGCGAGGCTGCTTTGCCCGCAGTGAATCGCTTCCCCTCGCTAAGGCATGTGAAGGCCAAGCAGGAAGGAGCCACAAGGACCACAGGGGAGGCCGAGGCAGGCTCGCTCGCACGGCTGCGTCTCTTCGCGCGGGTCCCTTTTAGAAAGGAAAGGCCTCTCGGGCACAGAAACTGAGTATCGTCCTGTGCCAGAATCGAAAGACCGGGGAGGGCGGGCACAGTGCCGAGCATCTGCGAAAGAAAACGCAATGCCTCTCCGAAACCCGAGGCGCTCGCCTTCACGGCAACCGTCCGAAAACTGGGAGAGCAGCGGGTTTGGTGGCCCCTTCTCATGCCTGCACCAAAGCCGCCTCAAGCAGGCCGCCTGCCCTTCGCCAGACAGCACGGCAGGCAGAAATCTCACAGATGCACCTCTTCCCTGCGCATTTCGTGGCAGGAAAAGCTTTGCCTCTTGCATAAGCCTCTTGCAGTGTCACAAAGCACCCGCGGTTGCATTCAAGATGGCTCCTCTTTGAAAAACTGAGGACTAGGAAGTTGCGGTCTTCTAGGCACTTGGGATAGGTCGGGCCCTGCTGGATTGGCCCCGGCTGAGTAAGCCTGAGGGGTGTCCCTGCACCCCATCTTGGCAGAGGCTCTGTGGCGTCGATCGGCAGCACATCTGAGGGCAGTTGTCGGTCCAGAGCTACAGAAAAGAAACATGCTTGGCCACACTTCCTTCTCCAGCTGTTCCAGAGAGTCCTCGACGCAGGACAGGAAAATCACAGCTGCATCCCCAGGACTGCGGTATCCCAGCTGGCTGAGTGGCTGGGGAGTATGGGATCCGTTGCCCGACCCGTCCATCACCCTGGCTGCCCAAGGGACCCGCTAGCCCCGAGCTAGGACGTATCTGGCAGAAGGCCAGCCTGGACTGGCGGCTTGGCCTCCGGCCACCATGCAGGGCCAGCCTCCGGAAAGCCGGACCCCCGGGCAGAGGCTGGGGTTACTCACCAGAGATGGGCCACGACTCGTCCCACCGGCTGCAGGCCTCCGAGCAAGCTCTCCACCCAGACCCCTTTCGATTTAGAAACCCCAGCATGGCCACAGAGTGCCTGCAGTACGGGGAAAAAGCCACCGGTCTACCCTACAGGGTTGTTCTTGCCACCGCAAGGCGTTGAGGGACGCTCTCGAAACAGGGGAAGGGCGACTGCGGCAAGACAAAGGGATACGGCGGGATGGTTTCCTCACCTGCCTTGGATGAGCGCAGCCAAGGCAGAGAGGCAAGAGTCCGCTGCCCCCCGGGTGCTTTCATTCCTCCTCCCTCACCCCCAAAGAGGGGAGGGAAAATAAATGAAGGACACCGAATGCCGTTCGTTTAATGGGCCCTAATGTCCTACCATCTGCCTTGCGATGATTAAGTAAAAAATATTGCTGGTGCAGACGGCATGGAGTATAAATAAATATTTTAATTCTGCTTCCTCGTGTAATTATTCAAACCCGTCTTGCTCCCTGAAGTGTGAAGTTTATTGCAATCAATGCCAGGGTCCTTCCGTTGTTCCGGGAGAGCAGGGTGCGAGCGGGAACAGAACAGAGGAGCCCGCGAGATACTTCTGCTGCTGCCTAGTTTGGAAAAACCAGGCAGGGAGGGCCAACGTGGTCTTGTCTCTGGCAGGTCTCTGGGACAGCAAGCCAGGAAGAAGTTCAGCAGGTACAGAGAGCTGCTGTGATGTGGGCTCCCTATCTGCCAGGTGCCTGCCTTTGGCCTGCCGCTCCAGAAGGCCCTAAAGCCCAAAGCAAAAAACCCAGGAGCCTTAAACTTAGAAATGCTCTTCTCAATCCGGTACCCGGCAGGTGTACCGGATTGAGAAGAAATGCTCTTCTCAATCCGGTACCCGGGACTGCAATTCCCATCACTGATACAGAAAACAGGAGGAAGCACTGAAATGCGCTTCCGGGAGCTCCTGCGAAATGGAGTTCGGCCTTCAGAGCAAAGAGCTTCTGCGTCGTGCCCGCCCTGACCAGCTCCCCGGAATTTCGAGCAAACGCCGCTGCACCAGCTGCCACTATGTCCTTCGAACTGGAGATGCGGGAGGTCCAACCTGGGACGCCCACCCTGCTGCCCTTGGGACACGGAAGCGGTACAGCCTCACCCCAGTGTGTGGAAGGCAAATCGCAGCCTCCTCGGTCCTGCCGTTGTGCTTCCCAGAGTGTCTCCTTCATTACCCCTCCGGAAACGGGTGCTGGGGCACACGGGAAGGGCCGCTGCCCCCTGCCCAGCCTGGACTGTCCACCGAGCAACCCTGGTCCACCCTGGGGGCCATCTCCTCCGTTCTGAGTGTGCCAAGCACGCTTCCAGGCTTATCTTGCCGCAGAGGCGCCGAGCTCAAGGGCTGAAACCCGGAGACACAGAGCCCTTTTTGCAGGATTTGAAATGGGGATGGGGACCGGGGCCATGCCGAGCCAGCGGGACCTGGCTGGGGACCCCTTTTTTGGGGGGAAAGGCCCTGATTTCTTGCCCCCAAGGGGAATCTGGAGCACCGCATTCAGAACGGGAATTCAGGGAGGCCGGGGTGGGGACGGCATCTCCCCGGCCTGGCACGATGGTCCTGAGGACAGCGCTCCGTCTGGGTCTCCAGCAGAGGTCTTGAAACGGTGTTTGTGCAGATTCCGCGTCCCGAGGCAGAACACAACGCCTGGCTGGCTGTTTGGGGGGGCAACGAACAAGAGGGCGCATTCAATTCAGCCCACCGCGAGCAGCTCCCGGTCCAAGCAGGAACACACACAGTCCTCACAGAGAAAGGCCTCATCCAAGGCTTGCCTTGACATCTTAGACCTATTAAAAATCAAACAAGTCTGTCCGGCTTATTTTCCTTGGCTGGCGTGAGGAAGTGCCAGTGGTTTCATTCTGGAACTCAGCATAGTCTAGTTAGGATGGGCAGATCTGTTCATGGTGGTTCCCCTTTGCTTCTCAGTTTTCCCCTTATAACTAAGTTTGTCCTAAACTTTGTGAATTTTTAAGAAGTCGACTGGAAAATTCATACACATTTTTGCACAGCACAAAAACACGCCCTGTTTGGGTCAGCAAATTTCCAAGCAAGATGCAATCTTGCCCATTCTTGCATTCATGCATATTTTCCGTCAGTATGTGCATTCTTTGACCAGAGAAGTCCATCCGAAATTTGGAGACAATCCAGATTTTAAATAACCTGAGGGCCAGTTGGCACCTTGGCTCAAAAGTGTGAAATGGGGTATATTCATAATACCATGTAAGCCAGATTGAATTCTCCCAGATTCTTGTCTGTTTCAGCATCCGGTGACTG